CTTACATTAGACAAAGGTGCCAAGAACATGCATTGGAGAAAAGATAGCCTCTTCAACAAATGGTGCTGGGAAAACTGGAAATCCATATGCAACAAAATGAAATTAAACCCCTCTCTCTCACCATGCACAAAACTCCATTCAAGATGGATCAAGGACTTAGAAATAAAACCAGACACTCTGCATCTAATAGAATAAAAAGCAGGCCCTAATCTCCATCATGAGAGATTAGGCCCCAATTTTCTTAATAAGACACCTCTAACACAAGGATTAAAATCAAGAATCAATAAATGGGATGGACTCAAACTAAAAAGTTTCTTCTCAGCAAAAGAAACAATCTGTGATGCGAATAGAAAGCCTACATCTTAGGAGCAAATCTTTACCCCTCACACATCAGATAGAGCATTAATCTCTAGGGTATATAAAGAACTCAAAAAGCTAAGCACGAGAAAAACAAATAACCCAATCAAAACATGGGCCAAGGACCTGAAGAGACACTTCTCAGAAGATGATATACAATCAATCAACAAATATATGAAAAAATATTCATCATCTCTAGCAATTAGAGAAATGCAAATCAAAACTACTCTGAAGATTTCACCTCACTTCAGTCAGAATGGCAGCTATTATGAAGACAAACAGCAATAAGTGTTGGCGAGGATGTGGGGAAAAAGGTATACTTATACACTGCTGGTGGGACTGCAAACTGATGCAGCCAATATGGAAAACAGTATGGAGACTTCTTGGAAAATTGGGAATGGAACCACCATTTTACCCAGCTATCCCTCTCCTCAGTCTATACCCAAAGGACTTAAAAACAGCATACTACAGGGACACAGCCACATCATTGGTTATAGCAGCACAATTCATAATAGCTAAACTCTGGAACCAACCTAGATGCCCTTCAATAGATGAATGGATTAAAAAAATGTGGTATATATACTCAATGGAATATTACTCAGCAATAAAAGAATAAAATCATGGCATCTGTAGGTAAATAGATGGAGTTAGAGAAGATAATGCTAAGTGAAGTCAGCCAATCCCATAAAACCAAATGCCAAATGTTTTCTTTGATATAGGGAGGCTGATTCATAGTGGGATAGGGAGGGGGAGCATGGGAGGAATAGACGAATTCTAGATAGGGCAGAGGGGTGGGAGGGAAAGGGAGGGGGCATGGGGTTATAAATGATGGTGGAATATGATGATCATTATTATCCAAAATACATGTATGAAGACATGAATTGGTGTGAATATCTTTTGTATACAACCAGAGATATGAAAGTTGTTCTGTATATGTATAATAAGAATTGTAATACCTTCTGCTGTCATATATAAATTTAAAAAAATAAAAAAACTATTGGTACTAGAGATAATCAGATTTTTAAAAGTGAATATTAAGGCTAAATTTAAATTAGATAACAAAATAAAGCCAATACCTAACTTCAGATAATAAATTCTATAATTATGGTGATAAAACCACCTGAACTGCAAAAAAAAAAAAAAAAAGTCACATGTATTTTAAGCTTCCCACTGAAAATTACTATTTGCTTATTGCTAACTTCACAAAAATCAGCATATTAGAAAGATAACAGATTTGTCCTATAAAAATTGATAAGCCTATATTATATACATATCCCATCCATTATTTTGGCCAAATTATGGGTTGCACAATTCTGAGGGTATTATTTATTTTGTACTATTTTTAAAGATAACATTCTATCATAACATTCTATCTTGTGCTTAATTGCTATTCTCCATCTTAAATCTCTCCTCACTTTTTTTTTTTCCTTGTTTTTGGGTGGGGAACAGGAACCAGGAATTGAACCCAGGAATGCTTAACCACTGAGCCACATTCCCAGCCCTTTTTTTTAAAAAAAATTTTTATTTGGAGACAGGGCTTCGCTAAGTTGCTCAGGGCCTCAACAAGTTATTCAGGCTGGCTTTCAATCTCCCCACTTTTTGGGACAAGATCTTGCTATGTTGCTTGAACTCTCGATCTTCCTACTTTAGCCTCCCGATCAAGTGGGGTTATAGGCATAGGCCACTACACCCGAATCTTAAATTCCCCTTTTACATTTGATATTTTGTTTCTAAAAGGAAAATAACCAAGCAAGTACCAACGGAGTAAAAACAAAAAATAATTTAGTGCCTGGATGAAAATACAAAACTTCAAGATACAAAACTTCAAGTATTTATATACTGTAGGCAAATAAGAGATTTGCAAAACTAAAAATCAGAGCAAAATAGCAAATATGATGAAAATCCGTATAAAGCCAAAAAATATATATAGGGAAGTTTAAGAGGGCAAAAATTATTTTATAAAGTCATGGAAAAAAGCAATTCATACACATCTTCCAAGTTGGGGAGAATCTAGAGATTTGGAAAAAATAAGCACAATTGAGTGAATAACAAAAAAATTCAACACTAATAATATATATAAGGAATATTCTAGGACATGTAATCTGACTACAATCAGATGAGCAAAGAGTAAGGAAAGAAACTATTTTCCTGTATTATTCTCTCTTATTATAAGGAACAGTTATAGAAACTCTTCAAATATGTCTAATATTCCATGTGATATGTATCTAAATAGATTAAAAAATTTCTCTTCAACTGTGACAGCATAAAATCTAGAGAAGATAGTTTACTAAACTTCTATATGAACTAAATTAAATCTAATAGCTGATATTTTACTGATGTTCAGGAGTTTTTTAAAAAATCCAGAAACCTAGAAAAAGAAAGTACTATATTTTAGAAGTCTAATATTAGGTTTGGAACCAGTCCTGCATTATGCCTCAGAATAAACTGAAATGATATATTAATAACTAACCTAGTATGCCATGTAGATAATGTTTGAAACCACCAAGTTTCATGCTAGGTGTCATAAACAGATTCAGTAATGTTTCCACAAACTCAGTAACTATTAAAATAGTCCATGTTCACCAAATGGTGGAATGAATTAAGATTACTAAATCGGAATTAATATTAATTCTAATTCCAACAACAGATGAAAGTGACATCCCAAGGCAATAATTACAGTATGGGGAATTTAGCTGAAATAATGAAGGAGAAGTAGATGGGTATTTTTAAATGTGGTAGCCAAAAATTATAGCAGAGCTGCAAGAAAATATAGCAGAGGATATAATAACCTGCTGGGAAGTTAGCAAAATTATACTTAGTAGAATTACACCTTTTAATTAAAGGATCTAAATTAAGATTAAAGACAAGTAAAAACATTGAAAGACCTGAAAATACAGGACACAAATTAAATAGTAATCTTTTCTGGTTATAGCATGACAAAGAGGGTCACAGGTTCAACTTGCAATGTGAAAATGACAATCAGAAGAAGAATCAGCAATGTTGTTATAAAATGTAAATGTTAGAATTATAAGGGAATCCTTTTGTACCTCTGGTAGTTTATGAATTTCTCTAGGGTAGGGGATATATCTTGTTCACACTTGAACTTATAAGCATTCAGATAAGGTTCTTCATGTAATGGGTGTTCCTTAATTAATTATAATAATTATGCTCTCATATTTTTGGTAGGTTTGCTATATTAAATTCTATTTTAGATCTATTTTTTTATTTATGGTCAAAATCCGTACAACCATAAGCCTAATTATCATGGGTCCTAATATACACACTGAATATCCATTCTGGTCCTCAATGTTTTACCAGCTTTAGTATATATATCCTAAAATTTAAGTAAACAATTGTAAATATGTAATTTAAGTATAAAATTTAAGTATATAATGATACTCCATATTATCAACATGACTTAATTTACCTTTTATTTATAACAAATCACTTATTTTGTATCATATACCAATTTGAAACTACCCAAAACTAATATTGCTTCAATGTCCTCCTGAGTTTTATATATACATACATACATACATATATATACATATATATATATATTTTTTAAAGAAATGGAACCACTTATTAGTTAATGAGAGAACTGAAGATCAATTTCACCATAATTTTAATTTCTTACTATATAAAAATAACCTGACAGATTTATGAACTAGGATAAATTTTAAGCCAATAATCATATTTGTGTCATGGTACCTAATGACAAATTAATCTTAAAGCAGAAATTCAGTTATTTTATAAAAGCAACAATTCCACTTCTGAAATCAAAGAGAAATTACGAGGTTTTAGGCTTTCAGCCCATTACTTATTTTTTTTTTATAGAAATATACATTTTTAAAGCTAAAGAAAACTGTGGGGTTCTAGTCCAGTATTTCTCAACCCCTTTTCATTACTGGACTCTCAATGAGCCATTTTAGGCTTAAAAAATTGCTTTTTCCTTCCATGGAAATTTGATAGCAAATATATACTCAATGTCTATTTATGACTATGCATAATCTATTCTACAAAACAGGAAAAAAAAATTTTTTCACCTCCCCAAAAGCCAATTTTTGTCACCATTAAGACCATCGTTTCACATTCCAAGTAAAGAAACTGAAGTTCAGAAAATATTACACATTTTCCCAAAGGAATGTCTTTTTAGTTAAAGGCACAAAACTCCAAAAAATGATTGGCAAATTATGTAAAAGACAAGCTACCTAATACCAATTACACATCCAAGATAACTACTATTCTCTTTTGGTTATTCCTATTTTCACAAGTATATAGGTAAGACAGGATAACCTTGAAATCAGTCATTTCTTATGTTCTTTTGAGTAACTGGTTTATTGACTCTGAAATGAATGGCTAAAATAGATTCTTATATTAAAATGAATAATGCTGTTCCTTACACCCCCACACACTCTCTTGTCTTTAAAACAATTAGTTCAAAATCTTGAATTTTGAATTTTATAAAATAATGCAGAAACACATTTCTGAAATTAAAATTAAAGTTCTTAATAGAATGATTTACTGTGTTATTTGTAAACTATTTTGAAATGAAAAGTACCTATATATTTTCTAATTTCAAAATATACTTTTTAACTTAGATGTTATTTTAGACCAGTAATTAGTTTTATTAATATTCTTACCAGTTCTGTCATAAGACTCATGACATGTACGTGCAATTTCTGCCCCTAACTCTAAATAATGACCAGCTTTATCCTTTCTGGAACCATCTGCTCCTAGTGCAAACATTCCCCCAGCAAAGCAAGCCAAATGTCCCATCTTCTTTTCCAAGTGTCCATTCTTCCATTCTCCAATAAAGATAAGACCACCCCGGGACTTCTTAATAAGGTGTTTTTCTATAGCCTGTAAAAAAGAACAGATATTCAAAATTCTAAAAGCAATCTATTAGCTCAAATATATATTTCTGGCTATCATAAAATGATTGCAATATAATAATCTATAAAGCAGTAGTTTTCCCACATTGAAAGACATAATTTATAATAAGTTTTGGAAGGAGTAACCAAATTGAACACAACTTGTAACAAATATTCTATAATCACTTCTGTAAGACAGAATGGGAATCCTTATTAGAATGATATACTTCATGTATGTATAATATGTAGAATACCCTACTGTTATGTATAACTAAAAAGAATTAAAAACAAACAAAAAGAGTGGGAGAGGTGAGAGTTGGCTGAAAAGAGTTCCTTTATATATAATATTAACCATTACACCTTTGTCTTTGGGGCTAAATGAAATTAATAATAATCAGTCAACTGATTGTAATGAGAACCTACACCAAAAAGGTTGTATCATTTCTATTTCATATAACAAAATCTGAACAGGAAGAATATCCAAGTTAATAAAAAAATGATTTTAATAATTAGTTAAAATGGTTCTTCATTTTCCATGCAACCATGTCACTTGGAAAAATACTTTAAAAAGGCACCATTAGGTAAGCCACCTAACACATTACAAGGCTTTCAAAACTAGTTGAAAGTTAAATATTTATCCCTTAGTTCTTTAGTCCTTTACTCTCAAACTTAGGCATCTGTCTGGGATATTGCGTCATGGATGAGAGGACACATAATAAAGAGTCCATCCTTATGGAATATCAGTTTTTCTAAAAAGACATGGGGATAGTGAGGGAAATATTTTACACCAAACTGAAATATACAAAGAATTAGAATATAAAAATCACATTTCATTTTAAAGTGAAGTTTTTAAGCACTTTGTTCCTTTGGACTATGATCTCAAACTTTGCAAGGAAGGCTACGGATTAATTTTCTGTTGTTGTTTAGAGGCATTTCTATGGAAAAGTATAAGAAATTGCATTAATTCAGTTCTATTTCGTAGAAATAATTGTATATGATTAATGACTCCACTTTCTGATGAAACAAAGAAATATTTCTTTGAAGAATTCTCATTTTAATTGTGTACTGTTCTGTAACCATCTGAATAACAAATTAACTTGGTAAAAATGTATTCTGTATTCTTGGCAATAATATATAAGTTTTATAAAATTGCAGGGGAGGGCTATGCCTTTTTCATCATCTTATACTCCAGAAGGTCTATAATGTACTCTGCACTCACTAAAAGTTTAGTAAGTAAATAATTTAATAAATGAATGATGCTCTTAATAGTTGTATTTGACCTGTTAGGGGAGTGAGACAGAGCTGATAACCAAAATGCTAAAGAACTAAGAGTAGATTATAAGCTTTGTTGTTGTGGTTGTTGTTTTCTTTTGATCATAATACTCTGAAGCACATATAAAAAAAGATTAATCTTTTAAATGAAGGGGCAATGTTTTTCATCCTTGTGGACCTCATGATACTAGCAGGTTTTCTGCATTAAAGTTACTCCACCAATGCCTAATAATAATCCATGTTTTGGTTTATACATTTTTACATAGTGTTTTTTGACAGTTTGTCATTTCTGTTGACGACAATATAAATTTTATCATGTTGTAATTAAAAGATATCCAAACATAACTTCATGAATTTACTAGGACTACAGAAATAGGTTAGGTTAGTATAAGCTTTCACCAGTAATTTACTTTTGGATTTGTAAAACTGTTTGTATGGCCTTCTTCTAAAAATATGACAAATACCTAAGAATGCAACTTAAATAAAATACCAAACTGCTGAATGGCAGTTAGTAACATTATTGCTCTTCAATTAAAATGTGTTAAATTGTCACTAATATTGGCATTATGTCATGTTCCAAAGGACTTTCGAAAAATCACATTTTGTTCACCTTTAAAAATTAATGACAAAACATAAATTTGATCAAAGTATAAAAGCTGTGATTAAGAAAACTAAGATACAGGAACCAAGGATATGGGAATTTGTAAGGGTAGAGGAGGTTAAGATACAGATGGAAAGAATCTAAATAGAATAGCTCAGAAAGACAAATTTTAGAAATGATTTATTTCAAATTTGAATAAATTTAAAAATAAGTGCCATACCTATCTCTTGCATGCATTTAATATGTTTTTTATTTTACAATTTATATATACTCTGTCTCCTTACAGAATGAACAGTTATTAAAGATAAACTGACACTGCAGAAATTACAAACTTGAGATCATGGCTCAAAAAAAAAAAAGGTGACCAATTTTTATTAAGCAATTACTCAGTAGGAGTCCATTCCAGACTTAAGAACTAATAAAAATAGGACATAGAAAACAAATACAGAAACATTTATAAAACACCTAATGTAGATGAAAATAATTTTAAATTATAAGATTAACTTTCAAAATGATTATTACTTCTTTCAAAGTATATACAATTAAAAAGGTAATAACAAATATAAAATAATTTTGTGGTCATTTAGGCAAGAATTAAGAAAAAAAGAAGAAAATGGTTTTAGATTATTACAAGAAACAGCCAATTATGAAGAAAAGATGATATTACATGGTAAATGACATGTCATATTTTAAAAATAAAAATATTAAATTCAGTCATACATTTATCATATATTGGACATTTTTCATGTTTTGGTTAGTATGCTTCATGCTGAGATAATGACAAACAAATTAGTCTCTGCCTTCAAAGGAACCTGAAGTTTAGTGGAAATGAAAAAGGGCTATTTCTAGTACTATGATCCTAAGAATAGTCTTAAATAATTCTTCCTAGTTAATGATTATTCTTGAATCATAAAAATATCCAGTTTTTTTTAATCGTGCCAACAAAGAGCGAAACTCTTCAACTTTTCAAAAATTTAAGACTTCATAAAATTTTTTAGAAGTAACATATAAAAATTTAAATTCTTGATTACACCTTAATTTGTCTCACTTTTTTAGTTAATCCTTCCACAACCATTCATTGAGTGACTTTAATGGGTAAAACACTATGTTACACACATTAAGGTCAACTCCTGTGTATTTCAAACAGCAAATGAAGGGTATTAGGTCCTTAAAAATAAGGATATAAAATGAGTAATAAGAGCCTTGCTTTAAGTTAAAAAACTACAATGCTGAAAACTGATCACTGATTATCTCAGAATGGTGTGATTATACAAAATACACAAAAATTAATTAAAATCATTAGAAAGATGAGGGTTTTTAATAGATCTGAAAGCCAGGAACTTATTAAATGGTTAACACATTTTTTAATTTCACAATTTTTGCCTGGAAATTTCCCATATAAATGCTCCCTAGAATGACTTGTTCTAAATTTCAACACTAGATCACAACACTGAAGTATGAAATTATACAAGTATGAAACAAGTGACGAAGAGAACGAGCTCTGCAACCAGACTGTTCAGTTCCAGGCTCCATAACTTACCAGTATATGACCTTCAACATTAACCTCATGGTGCCTTAAGGTCCTCATATACAAAGTGAGGGCTAGAACAGTGCTTGGCACATGGAAAGTACTTATATAAGTGTGATATTATAATTATTTACTCACAAGGATCTCAGCATATAGGTTTAAACAGTCATTTAAAGAAGAAATGTTTAAGCTGGGTGCAGTGGCGCACACCTGTAATCCCAGTGGTTTGGGAGGCTGAGGCAGGAGGACCTGGAGCTCAAAGCCAGCTTCCACAAAAGGGAAGCACTAAGCAACTCAATGAGACCCTGTCTCACAGGGCTGGGGATGTGGCTCAGTGGCCAGGTGCCCTTGAGTTTACTCCACCCGCCCCCCAAGAAGAAATGTTTATGGAAATAAATGTGAAGTCATAAGTTTTTCCAGTCTTATAGATGTTAACTAAACTAAAATAAATTCTCCTAAAGTATCTATACTAACCTTCAATTTCTCTAAAATGTTACAGATAAAAGAACACTTGGTATAAGGATTTGCTATTAAAACACTAAAAAGCTCTATAGTAAATGCACATAATAAAATGTTTACATATTTATTTCCTGAATGCATAACAAAATGGTTATTCCTGAAAGCATATAATAAAATATTATTTTTTGAGTCACTATCAAATAATTGTACATTCAATATGTTAAGCAGGAAAATATTCTGAAAATAATCACCTCAATAGCATCATCATACATCTTCCTTGCTTCATGATCTGTTTTATCTGACATCAACCAAGCTTTCAGTAAGTATTCATAGAAACTGTCGCCCAGACCACCAACTGATGTATGATCTGTAAAAAAAAAAAAAAACCAGAAAGAAAGAAAAGAGAAGGATACAGATGAAGTAAAGAGAAAAACGGAAGGCAAAGTACTATTTTTCAATCATAATGACTGTTTTACAGATCAATTTAAACATTATATTTCCAACAAACTTCAAATTTTGTCCAGTAAGAATATAGCATAAGGGGCTGGGATTGTGGCTTAGCGGTAGAGCGCTGGTCTAGAACATGTGAGGCCCTCGCTTCGATCCTGAACACCACATATAATAAATAAATAAAATAAAGGTATTGTGCCCAACTACTTAAAAAAAAAGAATATAGCATAATAACTCCTCTCTATACATGTATCCAGGTTTCTAGAAAATCATTTCCTCTGGATCTGATATTTTACATATTTAGGAGCCTTTGTCTTGAATTACTTTTATACCTTGTCATACATCCAAACTTTCACATAAATTCAAATAATTACCTTATGTATATTAATAGCTTTAAATATAAAGCTACATTAAATATGAGAGATATACTTAAATTTGATGTTAACCCAAAAGAGGTCACTCTTTAATATTTTTTTATATGATGATTAATGGTGAGTCCTGGGCCAGACAGTAAATTAAAATATGTCAATTTTTTAAAAACTCAAAAGTTCCTTTATAATACAACTCTGCAAAATTAGCTGTGAAATTGCCATCCTTAATTACTGTCTATACAACTATTAATATATATATAATTATACCTAGGATAAACATATATATATATATATGTTTATCCTAGGTATAATTCTTATTTTATGGCCATCTATTCTTTTAATCCTATCTCATTTAGTACAATAGTTCCTGAGGCAACCACACTCTTTCATCCCTGACTTTCACCAAACTCTGTCCTACATTCTTAAACTTTGTCTCAAAACTCAACACCCTCCTTGCATTTTCATGCAAGAAAAATATTACATTTTTTATAACCCTTCAATTTGCTCATATTCACTTGTTTTTTTAAATTATAAGTAAAGGATAGACCATTTAGTGGTTTATGAGAAAAAATGACTCCCATTTGGGGAAAAATGTATGTTAATATGTATCTTTGTCTTACAAATTAAATTTGTGGTTAATTAATAATTTCAGAGTAAAACTACAAGTGAACCAGATGAAAATATAAGAACACATCTGGTCTTCCTAAGTAAATGATTTAAGCAAATTCAAAATGAGAAAGCCCATAAAGGACAAGCTTATATCTTCATATGATACAAGCAAAATACAAGTAAGTCCACAAGATTAAAGAATTAAATGGAAGAAAATATTTGCAATGTATGTAACAGGAAAAAGGTGATTCCCCTAAACAAAGACCTCTGACAAAAAATGAGGCAAACTGAAACAGGATACACACAATAAACAAAAAATAATCCATACAAGAAATCACATACCCTATACTCCCAGCAACTCAGGAAGCTGAGGGAGGGAGATCACCTCAGAGACCAGTCTCAGAAATTTAGCAAAACTCTGTCTCAAAAAATAAATAAATAAAGGACAAGGGATGTAGATCAGTGGTAAAGTATACTGGGCTCAATTCCCAGTACCAAAAAAGAATGGGGGGCGGAGGGAAAGAATAAAAAAAAAAAAAAAAAAGAAAAGCATTTTATAAAAATGAGATTCCACTGTTGTCAGAACCACAAACATTTTCAAAGATTAATAAAACTCAATGTTGATAAGAACTATGGTTCACAGCTGTTGGGACTGAAGGGCAATTTTGTGGTAGCTATCAAAATGTAACCCAGAGGGTTGGGATTGTAGCTCAGTAGTAGAGCTCTTGCCTAGCACATGAGGCAGTGGGTTCGATCCTCAGCACCACATAAAAATAAATAAATAAAATGTAATCTAGAAATTCTAGTTCTGGAATTATCCTTTAACAATATTCACAGAAAAATATAAATACAAATGTGAAAAATAAAACAGCTGATCACAGAATTACTTCCATTAGTTAAAAACTAAACCTAAAGTTGCTAAATAAATTGCAATATGAACATACTTTAGAGACCTATACAATCATTAAAAAGAATCAGGCTCATCTGTATTCTAACTCTGTATGATATCCATATGCTATTGAGTGGTGGGGAGGGAGCAGAATAATACAGTTTGACAACACTAAATATTTGATTTATATGCTTAAAGAATGTTAGCATAGATATAGAAAGGATCTGAAAAAACAGCTATAAAATAATTATTTTTAAAGAAGGAATCCTTAAATTTTAACTTTATATACTTAATTATATTAACTGAATACATGTAACTATATATAACTAAAAACCATATCTTGTAGAAAATAATAAATGGGTAAATTACCTTCAGCAATACATCTGCTAATAACCCAGTAATTCACATATACCTTAAAAAGCTTGCAGCTCAAATGCTTCTTATTTTTTTTGTGAAATCTTAAGTGTACATGCTAATGAATTTTTATATGTTTACACCAGTAAAACCACTACCAAGTAAAAACATATAGAAAATTTCCAGTTTCCTCCTTCACATGGCCTTCAGTCAATGACTCAATCCCAAAAGATAGTCATTTTTCTGATCTCTAGCACCACAGATTTGTTTTATAAGGTTCTGACCTTCATATAAAGTGGTTGTTTACTTTTCACTAAGATTTGTTAACTTAATGCTGTTCTACTTTGTTTTTACCTAAGGTAGGCTTCTGAGTCTCTAATTCAAAGTGATTTGGTATATTGGAAGACACCTGGAGAAGACAGGGCTACAATATGATCCCTTTCTTTAAATCTTGTACCATATCAGAAATCAACAACTAAATTTCTAATAGCTTTAAATACCCAACACATTTACAGTTAATAATTTTATAATTATGGCCATATATGATAATGGGTTTACAGGTTAAGTTATATTTAAGATACTAAATTCTAAGATACAAAACATTTTATAATAATAAAAATCATAAAAGTTAACACAAACTGGGAAGCAGTGAAACCTTAAAAAGGTAGGGCCTGGGGAGGTGTTAAGTCAATGGTTGGCATAATCTTGAAGGGCACTGTGGGACCCTGATCTCTTCCCTCTTTTTTTGCTCACATGAAGTAAACATGTGCTCTCACCACGATGTTCTGGGCCACACTGGCCCAAAGCAATGAGTCCAATGAGTCATGAACTAGGATCTACAAAACTGATACAAAATAAACCTTTCCTCTTTATAAGCTAATTCTCTTAGGTATTTTATTATAGTAACAGAAAGCTGAGTGTCCTAAGAGAAAAAATAAATCTTTAAAGCAAAACCAGTAAAATTACATTAAAAAATTGACAAATAATATTTTAATATACCTATTTTTAACTGAAAAATCAATCAGAAAAAAGTAGAAAACGAATCTGAAAAGTCTTATTTAACAGGCTAAGAAGTCTGAATTGCCTTAAAGACAAGTAGATTCTCTGCTAAACCATAACCTACTTGTGTCTTCATATACCCCACAGCACCTAGGTCAAACTGTCAGGTTTCTAACACAGGTTCTACCAGATAGAATGCAGGCAAGACAAGAAATCAAGAAGAGAAAATTTTAATACTAAACTCAGTTCTGTATCTATGGAGTCTAGGGTACCTGTAATATACTCAGGCACAAATATCCTGTACAACATGTGGCGATACAAGTTTAAAGCCCAAAGAAGAGCAATAATGAAATACTGGATTAAACCGGGGCCGGGGGTGGGGGGGTCCTATAAAAGGCCAGCTAACATATAGCCTCTGTTGCATATTCCTGTTTTGTGTTGTTGTTGTTGTTGATGATGATGTGTGCTGATGATATGTGCTTAAATAATCCTTTAAAAATGTAAAATACAAAACAGGTCACAGGCCTGCCTCAGTTTGCTCAATTTGGATCTCATCAATATTATAGGACATAGTTCATAATAGAAGAAGAAAGTGATAAGGCTTGAGAAGCAAAATGGAAAGGGTAAGAAGTAGGTATTCCTAGGAATATAAATATTTAAAAAGCTGCATGAAGAAGAATATGAAATAAATTCCCAGTCCTTGAAAGTGAACTGGACTTGTGATATGGTTTGGATCTGGAATGTCCCTCAATAGCTCATGTGTTGAAGTCATGGTCTCCAATGCAGCAAGGTTCAGATATAGAGATTTTAAGCAATGATTGGACCATGAGGGCTCTGACCTAGGTGTATGGACTACTGGGAGGTAGGACCTAGTTAGAGGAAGTAGGACACTGTGGTCATTCCCTGGAAGAGTTATCTTTTCCCCAAACCTCTTCTTTTTCTGCTTCTGTCTCACACTACACTTCCTAACTGTCATAAGCAAAGAAGCTTTCCTCCACCATGCACTTCCACGAGGATGTTCTGCCTCACTATAGACCCAGAAAAATGGAGTCAGCCAACCACGGACTGAGACCACTGAAACCTTAACCAAAATAAATCTTTCTTCTGTTAAGTTTTGTTATTGTCAATTATTTGGTCACAGCAACAAAAGAAGATTAGCAAACAACCTGTATCTTGCTTTGTTTAAATGAATGTAGTAAAATCTAACAGTGTGCCAGTTTCCAGCTTAACCCTCAAGAAGCCTTGCATGTTCCAACTTCTTTTTGGGGATTCTGCTACTGCTAAGTAAAGAAGTAAGCTGTGACACACTCTCATAGATGATGAAGATCACATGAAGCACAGCTGAGTCTTCCCAAATGGGGCCATGCTAGTTTGTGTTGTGTAGCAATAGCTAACTAATATACTGTCTTTTTTTGACTAGTTTACAGGACAGTCAACAGAACACAGAAGAAATTACTTTTAAAGGGGTTGTGGGAAGCAGAACCCAAAAGGCAATAATTCATTGAGAAGTGAACAGAAATAGGAAAAAACATGAACTATATCAATAAATATTAAACTAATACTGCAAAAGACTTTATCATAAGAAGAGATGTAGAACATTCATCAGAAGTGGGCAATAGCATCTAAAAAGACAGCAAGTGAGAAAAGAATCATAAAATTTAATATGTAGCATAATTAAATAAGAACACCAAAAAA